GAAGCTCCTGTACCCAAAATACCTCTTCCGCTTGTCCAGGCATCACAAAGATGACTGACTATGGCCATACAACATGACTGCCCAGTGACAGCCTCTTACCTGAGTCCTGGGAATGAAATGCTGTGATAATAGAAAACATTGGCTTGCAGAGCTGTGGAATTGGTCAGATGCGCTGTGTACACACCGTCTCATCTTGACTTCATTCTTTTCCTCCTGAGTTATAGGTTTGGGTTTCATATCCAGGACGAATTCAATATCCTTATATAGACTGCTATGCATTTTTATGTGCCTCTGGGCATCTATCAATCTAATGAGATTGGGATTTGGCCTGGGGTATAAGGGAAGTGTTCCCATAGAGCTGGTTTATTATATCATTCATTCCACAAACAAAATTATCTCAAAGAGTCTACCTTTTGGTCAAACCCTCTATATCAAAGCGATTTTCTCTTCATATAAATTGGAAACCTGAAAAAGCAGAGCGGCCCTGAAATGATGCTGGAGTGTGAGTGAGCGTGTCACAATACTTACAGCCCTGAACTAAGTGCCAAGGAGTGGCTGAGGATGAGGACCTTGTTTTCAGGGCTTGATGCACATGACCTATTGGGAATGTAACTAAATCTATTCTCTCTCATTTTTCGCACAGCTCAGAAAAACTGGAAAGAGTTTCTCATGGTCCTGGCTTGCAATAATTGTAGCCACATAGCCATGCCCTGTGGATGGTGCAAACGCAATACAAACCCCCAATTCACTATAGCCTTTGATTAACAATCCTTACCCCACCTCAGCCCCAATTCTGTTTGCTCAAGAGCTGCTGCTTCATTTTCAGAGAAACCTCCAAATCGATTGATGTCTCCAGAGACACCACCTGTGCAGGCACCTGGATTGGCTTTGGTGACTTCCTTAGTGAGGCTTGGCTGGGAAAGTCCCATGAAAGCTCTGCCCAGACACCCCTTGAATAGAGTCCCCAACTCCCACCTAGAATAACAGAGAAGAACATGGGTCTCTGCTGGCCAGTTTAGCATATGCAAATGATTCCTGTCACTGTCCACCTGGATTTCAAGCAGGGACATCAACAAAAAAGAGAAAGCAAAAAGCTACTAGCAATTACTCAATTTGTGCAGGCCCCAATTTTCATAATGTTAATCAAGACCTTGTTGCAACCGTGTATTTATTCAAGCTGTAATAACCAAGACTACAAGGGGTTGATTGCTGCAACCCCGTGCAATCCTTAATCCCCATGCATGGAGGTCATTACAGAGATTACAAACCAGAACTGATGCCAATGCAGGGATTTCTTTCATTTTTTGAAAAATGTGTTGTAGTTTTAATTGATGTAGCATGTCCAACAAAAGGCAGGGCCAGGGAACTAATTCCACTCTTTCTGGCTCTGCCTTTCCCAGGTCTGTGCAGTTTATCAGTCTCATAATGAGGAAAGTGAGCTATTACTGTGGTTGAAATGCCAGTGTGCTTGCTATTTGGTTAGTCTCTCTAGGGACAACTCTGTATATCAAATCAAGGCTAAGAGTTCAGATACAGAAGTTTGGAGATTTTCCCTTTTAAATTTATATTGTGCTGTTGAGCACTATACTTATCCTTGTAGATAGATGCTGGCATTTCAAGCTAGAAAAATTTTTCACTAGCTTCCTTCTACTTTCCTGTATTTGGGGATGATGTGTATGATATCAGTAGTTGAAAAATAAAGCTTCATGCTTTATTCCTATTTTGTATTTTGATTAAAATTCTTTTTCATTCTCAGTCAGATTTTTTTTTTTTAGAAGGAAAGGGACACCGTCATTTCTTTCAGGCCCAGCAGCTCTGCTAATTTTGTGTGGCTCTGTTCCATTGTCCAAGCATAGGGCACGGATTCCTCAATTTTCTGTAGCAACAGGGAGATGTGGATGTGAATGTAAATGTTTCAGAAAGAAAAGGTTATGTGACTCCAACTGCAAGCTAACAATGGCTTCCTTTTCCTTTTGCCAAATGGTTTCCAAGCATCTCTGAATACACCTGCCCTGCTGGGGAGAGTGGTTTGGTGGATGGCAGAGCCCTGACCCAGGGTGATATGGGGACAGGCAGGGAGAGGGCTGGGAAGCAGGAAGGAGCCTGAGATGCCGGGAGGCAGCTGACTTCTTCAGCCACGCTGTGCCAGGTTAGAAATGGCCACTAAGATCTGTTCTTCCAAAACACAGACCTCCCTCCTCCAGCGCTGTCTTCATACGCTGGGATTAGGAGCTGAGTTCTGTACATGGATTTTCCCCCATTGAACTGTTCTCAAATAACAAAATAAACAGTTTAGGATTAGATATGCCAGTGGGACCAAAGAAAGCCAGCATAAGTAAAAATCCATCTAGAAGAAGCATCTCCTTCTGGCTAATATCAGTTCTCATCTTTCTTCCCCACATGAACACCAGTAGTTTAGGTGTTCGCTTGGCTCCAGTCAAAAGGGAGCCAAGGCCAAGCAGCCCACGGCGATGAGCAGCTTGGGCTCTGGGGCTGGACCTGTTCAAATCCCTACGCCACCACCACCAGCTGAGTGGCCTGTTTGAGCTCCGTTTTCTTTGTCTGTGAGACGGGGCCCTCTAGGAGGTAGGGCTCCTGGGCTGTCGCTGGCCCTGGCGGCCTGTCCTCAGCACTGGTATACAGGCAGCAGGGAGAAGTGGAGAAAACCTGGCTTTGGAGCTCGACTAGGAGGACTCAGGCTCTGTCACTTGCAAGTCACACCAGCCCCAATCCTCAATTTCCTCATCTGTAAAAGGAGAAAATGATAAGGACCTCCTAAGACTGTTACGAGAATTAAATAGAATAGCCACAGGGCAATGTCCAGTACAAAGTCTGGCACACAGTACATGCTCGGTGCATGCTGGCTCCCTATGACTATTCCGATGGAACTTTCTTTCAGTTCCAAGACCTATGCCTCTGTGACTCCACTTCTCTGTCCTCCCCCTGCCCCCACCTACATCCTGGGAGAGGTATTGTGGAAGAGGGAAATGGCCAGAATGCAGGCAGAAGAAAAGCAAGCAAACAGGCGAGGCTTATCAGCTGTCTGCTAATCATAGGTTGAGGACAGGGTCAGAGGAATGAAGCAAGGAATTACACTTGGGGACAAGAGTTCTCTGGGATCTCCTGCTCTAAGCACTGTGGGACACAAGGACAATGACTCTATAGTGAGAGTGAAAGGGGGTGCAATAAATGAAAACTTATGCCAGAAAAAAAAAGGTATGAACTGGAACATTACTGACACCCACAGTCACCCAGGTGTCAGGTTAGCCTGAGTGTGACAAGAACAGAGGCAGGGAAACTGGAGTCCTGGGGGTTGTGATGGTGGGGGACTGTAGAAATATCCAGAGCCAGCCTACCCCATGGCTTCTGCTTTGGGACACAATAAGACTGTGCCCCTTGTTAGCAGGAGCTTAAGTAAGAGCAGAGGAGCCCACTCAGCAGTTGACGTATTTGACATTCATAATTATACCAACATTGGGGAAGATTTCGCCTTCCACTTACCAGCACAGAACGATGGATAAGTGTTCAGCGCTCTTACTAGCTGACCTTCCCTATAATGTGGATCTTCTCTCCCTTTTCTCTTATGGTAGGAAAAACCATATTGTAGGCAAGGTCAGCTAGTAAGATTTGGCTAACCCTCTACCTAGGAGATAGGAATAAATAAATCAAGTCCTTGGTTTTTCTTTCTACTTCTAGTTCTCTGCAGGATGGTTTATTTCTCAAGCTTATTTTCTTATTCCCTTCCCCCATTGCTATGATCTGAATATCTGTGTTCCCCTCAAAATTCATATGTTGAAATTCTAACTCCTAAGGCGATGGTATAAGGAGGTGGGACCTTGAGGAGGTGATTAGGTCATGAGGGTGGAGCCCTTATGAATGGGATTAGTGCTCTTAGGAGGCCAGAGGGAGCTCATTTCTTCTTTCACCACATGCGAACACAGCTGGAAGGTGCCATTTATGAACCAGAAATTGGACTCTTGCCAGACAATGAATCTGCTAGCCCCCTGACCTTAGACTTCCCAGCCTCCAGAACTGTGAGAAATAAATTTCAGTTGTTTATAAGCTACCCAGTTTGTGGTATTTTGTTCTAGCAACCCAAACATATTAAAACAGAAGATTGGTACCAGGAGTGGGGTGTTGCTATAATAAATACCTAAAAATGTGGTAGCAGTCTGGGCATAGTGGCTCACACCTATAATCCCACCACTTTGGGAGGCCAAGGAGGGCAGATTGCTTGAGCTCAGGAGTTCAAGACCAGCCTGGGCAGCATGGCAAAAGCCTGTCTCTCCAAAAAAAAAAATATATATATATGTATATATATATATAGCCAAAATAGCCGTGTGTTGTGGTGTGCATCTGTAGTCCCAGCTACTCAGGAGGCTGAGGTGGGAGAATCTCTGGAGCCAGGGAAGTTGAGGCTGCAGTGAGCCATGTTTGTGCCACTGCACTCCAGCCTGGGAGACAGAGCAAGGCCCTGTCTCAAAAAAAAAAAAAAAAAAAAAGTGCTAGCATCTTTCGGTAATTGGTAGAGGCTGGAAGAGTTTTGAAGTACATTCTAGCAAAAGTCTACATTGTAGTGAAGGGACCATTAAGGGTGATTTTGGTGAGGACCAACTACTAATCCATAGAGACAGAGAGATGCATGTGGCATCTGCCACGGTAAATGTTGGAAGGGATGCTCAGACCATCATCTCATCTCCCAGACAACTCAGAAAGTAGCAACAATGATGACAGGTAAGACCCTTGTTTATCTGATGTGCCAGAAATCAGTGTGGGTCCAGGACACCCTGGAAAGTTTATGTGCACTTAGAGTCAAGCCCACTGAGGGCTGTTCTAAGACAAGTTATTCTATCCCAGCCCATGAGCATGAGTGTCTGTAGGTGCTAGGCATGGTGAGTGTGAAAAAGAAAATTAACTCTCTCTTTGAAGCTTATCAAGCCACTTACTCACCCGTACTGGATGCCTGGGGCTCACTCTTGATTCTTCCCTCCTTTCTCATGCCCCATTGCAAAACCACCACATCCAGCTGTGTGTGTTCTATAAGCTCATCCCTCCCTCTCATGTCTGCAGCTAGTTTAGGCTCTCATCCTCATCACCTCCCTGGACTCCTGCAGCAGTTGCCTGTCTGGCTTCTCTGTGTCTAATCTCAACTTCCTTCAGTAAGTTCTTCATGCTAGCCAGAAGGGGCTTTCTAAAACACAAATCTGATGATGTCATTCCCTTGCTTAAGAGCCTTCACGGGCTCTCCCTACAGAATAGAAATCCAACTTTTGTTTTGTTTTTAACGTTGGCTTAAAAGGCCCTCCAAGATCTGTTCTCAGCACAGAAGCCAGAGCGATTCTTTTAAAGCAGAAGTCAGATCATGCCGACCCTTTGCTTTAAACACTCCCTGGGCTGTCCGTCTTGCTCAGAGCCAAAGCCAAAGTCTTTACAATGGCCGACAGGCCCTGCTTGTTCTGGCTGCTCTTCTCACTCTGATGTCATCTGTTGCTGCCCTCTCCTGCAGTCTCTCTCCAGCCACACTGTCCCCCACACGCCTTGTAATCCTGGGAGTGCCCAGGTATGCTCCCAACCTAGGGCTGCTGTCCCCTCCTCAAGAGCCAGTCTCACCCCAGATAACCACATGGCTTGCTTCCTTATCTCAGATGTCTCCTTCCCAAGGACTTACCTGACCACCCTATTTAAAATTAGAAACCCTTTTCCTTAGCACTATTTATTTATTTATTTATTTATTTTATTATACTTTAAGTTCTAGGGTACATGTGCACAACATGCAGGTTTGTTACATATGTATACATGTGCCATGTTGGTGTGCTGCACACATTAACTCGTCATTTACATTAGGTCTATCTCCTAATGCTATCCCTCCCCCATCCCCTCACCCCACAACAGGCCCTGGTGTGTGATGATCCTCTTCCTGTGTCCAGGTGTTCTCATTGTTCAATTGCTACCTATGAGTGAGAACATGCAGTGTTTGGTTTTCTGTTCTTGCGATAGTTCGCTGAGAATGATGGTTTCCAGCTGCATCCATGTCCCTACAAAGGACATGAACTCATCCTTTTTTATGGCTGCATAGTATTCCATGGTGTATATGTGCCACATTTTCTTAATCCAGTCTGTCATTGATGGACATTTGGGTTGGTTCCAAGTCTTTGCTGTTGTGAATAGTGCCGCAATAAACATATGTGCCTTAGCACTTTTTAAAAAAGTATTTCCTGCTCTTTATTTTTCTGCATTAACACTCATCTGACATAAACGTTTTACTCATTTATTTTGCTTGTTGTTGGTCTCCCTATAAGTTCCATGAGGCAGAGATTTTTGTTCATTTCACTTGTTGCTAATCCACAACTCTTAGAACAGTGCTAGGTACACAGAAAGGCCTAAATACATACTTGTAGAATGAATGGACCTTGCCTCTACCTCCAGCCTCATTTTCAGCCATCTCTTCCCTCTGTAGTCCAGTAACACCTCAGTGTCTGCCCCCCAACCCCACCCAGCTGTTCCTCACCCTCCTGCCTCTGCTCTCTTGTCTTGGATTTCTCTGCCCTTCCCCGACTCTTCCTTTGGCCACTTCTGTTTATCTTTAAAGACCCAGGTTAGACTTAACTGCTTCTAAAAACTTTACGTGATTCCCCTATGCTGGATTCAACGTTCATTTACTGCTCTCCCATTGTATCCTCTGTTGACTCACAGTTAAAGAGTATGCTGTAAGTATCGATGCATGTCCCTCTTCTTCAGCAGACTGAGGGCTTCTTGAGGGGCAGGGGCAATTATGTTTTTTAACCCTTTACATCTCAGTTCCTGACATAGTGCTTGGTACCTAGCAGGTGTTTAAATATGTTGTTGAATGGTTACATGACGTAGTTCTGATACAAGGAAGTTACAGAGTACAACACTTGGAGAATACTACATCAGGACAGGCTGAAAGCTAAATGGTGTCCAGCAGTGGACCCAGCACACACTCGAGCTGAGAGTGGGGTCGGGAGGACTAAAGGCAGGAAGAGGGTCCTGGAAAATGCATGACTTAAGCTGAGACTTAAAGAATGGATATTTAGAGGAATGCAGAGGAAAAGGGAGGTGACAGGTCTTTGAAGAAAAGATTTGAAGCTAGCCAAGAGCCAGCCAGGAAAGGTTGACAACCAGACGGTCCCCAGAGGAGTCTGTAGTGGCACTCAGTATGCCACAGCAACCACAGCCCATATACACAGTGCTTGGGCTGGCCCACAAGCAGCTGTCTCCATTTGCCCCCGGGCCTTTGTCTTAATCAGATGGAAGCCTACTGGAGCCTGGACCATTTAGGTGGCTTCTTTCTGGAGTGTTGAGTTGCTTTGCCTTCCTTTCCTGATCTCTGCTGGAACCCAGTGCCCGGGCGCCTGCTCACCTGCCTTTCACTATTACTGTTGTTGGCAGGTTAATGACCTAGTGACTTCTTTGCCTGTCACCTTAGACTTGGGGACAGTGAAAATCTACCAGAGTGGCATGTCTACTGCCGTGGAAACAGATTTTGGGCTCTTAGTGACTTTTGATGGCCAGCACTACGCCTCCATTTCCATCCCAGGCTCCTATATAAACTCCACCTGCGGACTCTGTGGAAACTATAATAAAAACCCACTGGATGACTTCCTCCGCCCGGATGGCAGGCCGGCCATGTCTGTCCTGGATCTGGGAGAGAGCTGGCGTGTGTACCACGCGGACTGGAAGTGCGACTCCGGCTGTGTGGACAACTGCACCCAATGTGACGCTGCCACTGAAGCCCTCTACTTTGGCTCTGACTACTGCGGCTTCCTCAACAAGACAGATGGGCCCCTGTGGGAGTGTGGCACTGTCGTGGACCCCACTGCTTTTGTGCACAGCTGCGTGTATGACCTGTGCAGTGTGAGGGACAATGGCACGCTCCTCTGCCAAGCCATCCAGGCCTACGCTCTTGTGTGCCAAGCCCTTGGCATTCCAATTGGAGACTGGCGAACCCAGACTGGGTGTGGTAAGCTGGCATCCCATCCCCATGACAGGTCTCTCTTGTGTAGGGGGCAGGGATAGGCTTTGGGGGCTCCTCCAAATGTCCTTGTTAAGACTTGTGACCCAAGAATGAAGGGGGGGTTGAAATTGCACAAATTACAAAGAACGAATTGTGAAAGGATCTTTGCTTTTGCCCCCACCTAATACCACAGCCGGGAAACAACCCATTGATGAACATACCTGGTCTGGAAACATGGAAGGCATGGCAGGAAGTCCCATAGCAGGGGATGGCAGCTCCAGAGTTGAGTGAGGAGGTGGGGTGTCCAGAGGGGGAGGTGGCTACTTTTTAGGCTGTTGAGTTAATGCAGCTGTGGGCCTGGGTCATCAAAACTAGCCCTTGGGAAAACAGCTCACCTCCCACATGGAACCTGCAGCAATCGTTCCTTGGCACTTTCTTCTCCACTGTTAGACCCTTTAGGGTTTTTGCCCTGCTGCTGCTGTAGATGAGCAGTACAGCATATGAGTAAAGAAACCCTTTTTCTTAAATGTTAGGAGTGGTTAGGAAAAGCCCCAACTTTGAGGGAAATCCTGGCTCTTTTGAATCACACTTTTGGATTAAGCATTTTCTACCATTTAGTTATCTCATTATTTTTTCCTTGTATCCCACTTAAATATGTATTTCTTTTGCTAGTTATACACAGTTTAAAAACAAATAGATTTCGTTTCCTTCTTAGTCCTTGGTTTTCTCCATATGAGTAAATAGAAAATTGTAATCCATGCATTTGAGAGTACTAGAGAGGTGAGAAGATGTAAAGGTTTCTTTAAGTTCCAAGGTTAGGGGGAGAATTCTTCTTATCAGTATAAGTTGGAGTCACATAAACCATCATGTATCAGATTCAGTTCTTAAGAGTTTTGGTCAAACTGCAATACAAGCAACTGTATTCTTGCTGTGTGACTGACCAGCCTCTCTTATGACCAGAGCATCCATATTGGATTCAAGTTGAGACTGAATATGGCTTCTCTTTATCCTTATATAAGCCAAGAGCATCCAAGTTATCTAACTCAAATGTTACAATGGCTACAGATAGATATTTTCTAGTGTCACTACTTTCCCATCCTCTACATTTCTCTTTCTTTTCTCTCTCTTATTCTGGTGCAATGGACTCTATTTAATTCAGAGAGATAGTTTACTAGGCCCCTGAGCCCCTGCTTGTTGGATTCAACCAGACTCAAACATTTATGTAGGCCCAGATGTTATTAAACCGAAGATTTCTGAGGCAAGAAGGGCCTTTAGAAGACATCTTGCCTAGTCTTCTGGAGAAATAGCCACACAAATTCTTTGAATTCTTTGGAGGTAGCCAGGGTTCTTTCTTATTTTTAATATCTCAGGGAATTCATCCCCACAATCTTCCTTGGTCACACTTAGGTATTTTAAGTACCTCCCTGTTACAAATTTCACGTTTTCAAATTACTCCTCTAATGGTTACATTTTTCATTTCTCCTGAAAATTGGATTTATTTCCTTCTAAGAATGGGCCATGCTCTTTAAAATCAGATCAATTTATATGTCCATCAGTGGAAGCTCTTAAAACATCTCGATAGTGCGGATCACCAAATAATAAACCTATATTGGGTAATCAGTAGTCTAGAAAGGATGGCATCCTGAAAGTTTAATTTTAGTCAAGATGATCAAATTCCAATAGAAGTTCATAGTCTAATTACACTGCTCAGTAGTTATTAGGAGAGTCACTGAGCTGGGTTTTACAGATACAACCTCAATTCTCTCTTCTCTGAGTGGCCGCTTGACCCTCACTCTAGGAACTAAATGATCCAGGAGGAGCGTTAAGATTCTGGCCGGTTGGCAGTCGGGGTCCATTCACCTTGTTATCGGCTCTCTTCCTTTCCCCGCATCAGTGTCCACGGTGCAGTGCCCGAGCTTCAGCCACTACTCCGTGTGCACCAGCAGCTGCCCCGACACGTGCTCCGACCTGACGGCCTCGCAGAACTGCGCCACGCCGTGCACGGAGGGCTGCGAGTGCAACCAGGGCTTCGTCCTCAGCACCAGCCAGTGCGTCCCGCTGCACAAGTGCGGCTGCGACTTCGATGGCCACTACTACACCATGGGGGAGTTCTTCTGGGCCACGGCCAACTGCACGGTGCAGTGCCTGTGCGAGGAGGGTGGGGACATCTACTGCTTCAACAAGACCTGCAGCAGCGGGGAGGTGTGCGCGGTGGAGGACGGCTACCAGGGCTGCTTCCCTAAGCGGGAGACCGTGTGCCTGCTCAGCCAAAACGAGGTGCTGCACACCTTTGATGGCGCCGCCTACGCCTTCCCCTCCGAGTTCTCCTATACCCTCCTGAAGACCTGCCCTGAGCGCCCAGAGTACTTGGAAATCGACATCAACAAGAAGAAGCCCGATGCAGGACCTGCTTGGCTGCGGGGACTTCGGATCCTGGTGGCCAACCAGGAGGTCAAGATAGGAGGCATCGGGGCTTCGGAAGTCAAGGTAAGGCTCCTTGCTCCTTTGGAGGGGTTCCTGGTACGTCTAGCCAGGAGGAGGAGCTCGCCATCCTCTTCAGGCTTGCCTTTCTGCCTCTGCTGTGAGTGGATTTTGGGAAGAAGATGGCTGCAACCAGGAGTGTTTTCTAATGATCTGCACCAAATAAGACTTATCAGGTGGAGAAATGGCATGCAGCTGGGATTTCTCCAATTAGATAGAGCAGGACCAGCTCTCCGGAATAGCAAATACTTACAGAACACTTACTATGTGCCAAGCACTATTCTAAGCCCCTTATAAGCAGTATCACACTTCATCTTATGATCCTCATTTTATAGATGAGAAAGCTGAGAAGCAGACAGGCTAAGTAACTTCCACAGGGACACATAACTGTGAAGGAGGATTCACACCCACCTGGCTGGCTCCAGAATCTGTGCTCTTAACCCTTGCACCCTACTAACTCCCCTACCTGTACATGCCAGTCTATGTGGGATGATGTAAGAGGTGACTCCCACCCCTCTGACCTGCTCTGAAAAACCTATCATTAGGCACCCAGACTCATAGCTTAGCTCTAGAAGGAATCTTGAGAATTATCGAGTGCAACTCCTCATTTCACATGAAGATACTAAGAGGGTAAGTGAAGGTCCCACAGCTAATTGTTGCAGAACTGGGATGCAATATGCATTTTATGTCACCTGAAGTCTAGTTTGGAAAACAAAAGCCAACACAGTACTGCCCAAGGAGATAATAAAATACACATCCACAAACTGGAAGGAAGGGATGTGTTTTTATTCCCATTGCCACATTGGCAGAGATTTGTTTGTTAATAGACTAGTAGGAAGTAGATAGATGAATGGACACCTAGATCATTAGAGATATCCTATGTGCCCTGGAGGAGCTGGGACACAGGAAAAGTAAGATTGGAAGAGAAAAGGAGCCAGAAAGGCGGGAAAGGAGGGGAATTGTTTTGAAAGGTACCAAAACAGAGGTGCCAGGCAGCAGGAGGGAGCCACGTATCTAAGGCGATTTTTGCTCACACTTCAGTTTAGTTTGTTATGGGCTAGCTTTGGGTCCAGAACACACATATAAACAGCGAATGGGTCTAATCAGGGGAATCCAAAAAGAAAGAAATAAAGAAGCCCATGACAAATCGGTTGATATCTGTGTGGGTTCCATCAGCTTCTTGACCTCTCTCAAAAGGCTAGCAATAGGGCAGACCATGTCTTTATCCCACAGCCTAGGAAATGGGGAGTCCTCTGTGTGTCCCTGGAATTGATAAGAATGATTTGATTTTTCAGTTGAATGGTCAGGAAGTGGAATTGCCTTTTTTCCATCCTTCGGGGAAGCTGGAAATTTATCGAAACAAAAACAGTACGACAGTGGAGTCCAGGGGCGTGGTGACTGTCCAGTACTCAGACGTAGGTCTGTTGTACATCCGGCTGTCCACCACATACTTCAACTGCACGGGGGGCTTGTGTGGCTTCTTCAACGCCAACGTCAGTGACGAGTTCTGTCTCCCCAATGGCAAGTGCACGGACAACCTGGCAGTGTTCCTGGAAAGCTGGACAACTTTCGAGGAGATCTGCAATGGGGAGTGTGGGGACCTGCTGAAGGCCTGCAACAATGACTCCGAGCTGCTCAAGTTCTATCGAAGCCGCTCCAGGTGCGGCATCATCAACGACCCCTCCAACAGCTCCTTCCTGGAGTGCCATGGGGTGGTGAACGTCACTGCCTACTACCGCACCTGCCTCTTCCGCCTGTGCCAGAGTGGGGGCAATGAGTCGGAGCTCTGTGACTCTGTGGCCCGGTATGCAAGCGCCTGCAAGAATGCCGATGTGGAGGTGGGGCCCTGGCGGACCTATGACTTCTGCCGTAAGTTGGGGTTGGATTCTGGGAGAGGCTTTCTAGGTCGGAAATAGATGCCGTACTGGGCCTTACTCAGGACTTCCCTTCCAGGTGGGACTGAGCCCAAGGGCGATGTTAATGACTGTGTATACCTGCCCTGGTCTGATGCCTCCTCCCAAAGACTCATCACCCCAAACCAGATAGCTTCTCATCTTCACTTTTGTTCCTAACTGCACAGTACTTCTTCACTGTAGAACAATTAGCCATCCTATTTACATGTGGTTTTATCTAGCAGAGGGCAGAGGCACCATGTCAAAGGACTCTGTAGGTGCCTTCTCCCTTGGCAAAGAAGAGCCGCATTCATTTTGATAGGAAGTGATCGGCTAGGGCGCCTTTAGGGCATAGAGATTAGCATGCTCCCCAGGGCAAACCTGACAATGGGTATTAAGAGAGTCCTGTGTTACTGGCTTTTAATTTTGTCCCGAGTGTCTGACTCCTCTCAACAAGGCAGTGGAAAGTACTAGTAGTAATTAGAATACTTACTGGGAAGGCCTGATATATAACACCCTTGGTTATTGGGGAGGCCAGAGGGAGGAGTAACATGGCAAAAGGCAGAGCCCACTCCTGGAGCTAGAACTACCTCATCTGGCCTTCAGCACACATCCCTCTCCCACCACGAAGGTGGGCCCTGCACCAAAGCCAAAGCCACCATTAAGATTCCATCCCTGACGGCTGTTTATCTGCCCTCCATTTTTAGTCAGCAAAAGTATTTTTTAATTTGAAATAATTTTAGACTTACAGAAAAGTTGCAGGAATAATACAAAGTCTACCATGCTCTCAGATTCCCTAATCGTTAACATTTTAACACATTTTCTTTCTAATTTTATCTCTAAAAATATACTCACTCTTTTTCTAAACCACTTGAGAGCAAGTTGCTGTCATTATGCCTGTTTGTACCTAAATATTTCAGTGTGTTTCCTAAGAATAAGAACATTTATATGACCATAACATAATCATTAAAATCAGGATATTGCCATTGATACAATACTATTATGTAATCTGAAGACCATGTTCATATTTTGTTAGTGGTTCCAATAATGTCTTTTATAGCCAAAACAACAAACAAAAAAACCCTGGAGTCCAATCCACGTTCACATGTTGCATCTTAATATGATGTCTCTATGGGCGCCTTTAATCTGGAGTAGGTCCTCAGTCTTCGACGTTCGTCGTCTGAGTGTTTTTGAAGAGTACAGGCCAGTTATTTTGCAGACTGTTTCTCAGTTTGAGTCAGCTTATATTTCTTCCTGGTTACATTGAAATTATGCATTTTTGGCAGGAATACCACAAAAGCAGTGACGTGTCTTCTCAATGTGTCATATCTGGAGGCCTCTGATGTTGGTTTGTCCCGTTACACTGAGCATGATCACTTGTTTAAGGTAGTGTCTGTCAGATTTCTCCATTGAAAGTTACTGTTTTTTACCATATAATTAATACATATTTTTCAGGGAGATACTTTAAATTTAGGTAGCTATTCTATTTCTCAAGCTTTCATACGCTAGATTTAGCATCCAGTGATAATTTTTGCCTGAATCATTTATTATTGTTTGTGAAATGGCTATTTTTTTGTAATTCAATGGCTCCTGCATTTATTAGTTGGCATTCTACTGTAAAGAGATGTCTTTTTCACCCATTTATTTATTTTTGTTTATTTAGATGAGTATGAACTCATCATGGATTCCTACTTAACCGATTGTATCTGTTATCATAATTTGTTTTTATGTTCAAATTGTTCCATATACGGCCAGTGGGAGTCCCTTCCAGCAGTGGTTTCTGTTGACATTTGCGTCATCATTCGTTGCTTTCCACAAGGCACAATGTACTCCGGGCTCATCTTGCACTTTCTCTGCTCCAGCCTTGGATTAGCCATTTCTCCAAGGATCTTTGGTTCTTTCCAGCGGAGCACAGTATTGAGGAGATAGGATCTGGGTGTCAGGTGTGCCCACTTCTTCCTAGAGTGTCATTGATTCTAGCATTCCCTAGTGAAGAGAGTGAGGAAATGCATGTATTGCCTATACACACCCTCCATGCACATTTTTATGTAGCTAGGTACGTCGCTTTCTCTTTTTATCTATCTCTGTCTCTATCTCACCATGAGTTCACACTGAACCTACAATTTCAGCCCAATACCACAGAGTTTTCTAGTTTTCCTTTTTTTTTTGAGACGGAGTCTCACTCTGTCACCCAGGCTGGAGTGTGGTGGCATGATCTCGGCTCACTGCAACCTCCGCCTCCCAGGTTCAAGGGATTCTCCTGCTTGAGCTTCCCGAGTAGCTGGGATTGTAGGCGCCTGCCACTGCACCTGGCTAACTTTTTTTTTTTTTTTTTTGTATTTTTAGTAGAAATGGGGTTTCACCATCTTAGCCAGGTGGTCTTGAACTCCTGACCTCGTGATCCACCCACCTTGGTCTCCCAAAGTGCTGAGATTACAGGCGTGAGCCACTGCGCCCGGCCAGTTTTCCATTTTTTAGTTTCTTTTATCTGAGAGTGAGAAACCTGGCCCACTGTATTTCCTCCTAAGTTTGTTTATTTTCTTAGCTTCTTATTTTGAAATAATTTCAAAGCTACATAAGAGAACACCTGTGTACCCATTGCCCAGATTAACCTATTGATAACATTTATTCATGTGTTTTATCATTCCCTCCCTTTCCCTGTCTCTTCCTTCCTCCCTCCCTGCCCTTCATGTGAGACTGAGTTGCAGACTTCATGCCTCGTTACCCCTAAAACTTCAGTATGTATTTCCTTAGAGTACGGGCATTTACGTACATAACCACAGTACAGTTTTCAACCTTAGGAAACTTAACATTGCTACAGTAATTTAACGTCCATATTCCAATTTTGTCAGTTGACTGAGCAATGTTCTTTACAGCTCTTTTGGGGTGTCAGGGTGGGGCACTCAGTACAGACCTAGTTTAGAATCACACATTGCATTTCATTGTCATATCTCTTTAGTCTCCTTTAATCTGGAACAATGACTTAGTTTTCTTTGTCTTTTCTGATATGGGCATTTTTGAAGAACACAGCCTCCTGCTTTTTGAAACAGAATGGCCCTCCATAAACAGAATGACCCTCCGCTGGGGTTGATGTTCCATCCTGAGGAGCTTCTGCTGTGCATCTCCACTTAGCCTCCTGGGCAGGTGCCATGTGTTTTTCTCATGGAATCACAGCACACACAGAAGCACGATCTTGTCCAGCCTCCCCCCATTGGTGATGAGCACGTTGATTCCCTGGTCAAGCTGTTGTCAAATGTCTCTGCTGTAGAGTCACTATGAGCTTTCCCTTGCAACCTGTGGGGAGATACTTTAAGACTGTGCAAATATCCTGTCAGTCTGTCTGTCTATCTATCTATCTATCAGTCATCTTATCAATCTGGACATGGATGCCTGTTTTTTCCAGTGGTCTATATTTCATCTTCCATGTATTAGTTATTTTCAGTGTTAAAATTGCTCTGGATTGGCCTGTAGGAGCTCCTTCAAGCTGGCTCCTGTGTCCTTTTGGCATGCCTCTGTCATTTTTTTTTTTTTTTTTTTGAGCACTTTCTTCCTTTTGGCATAACAAGGTGCTTCACGCTCATCTTTTAATCTTCCCTGCCCCATGCTGGAATCTGCGTGACTCCAGGAAGCCCTGCTGAGTGGGGAATGTTGTTAGAAACCAAGATGTAAGGGAGGTGTCCCTGTTGCTCTTGGGTTGTCTTTGCTTTGCCTCTAGGTCCTTTCAACAGACAGAGCTGAAAACCAACACACACACCACACACTACACACACACACACACACACACACACACATATCTTTTTAACTCTATGATTCCTGACCTTGGGAAATCCAAGGAGCGTCTGGAGAGCTTAGTGGTTGTCATCTCAGAAAAGGGCAGTTGTATCCCTGGTGAGCCCCAGGGAGGGACCTAATAGCAGATGCCGTGAGAGCCTCCACGGTTCCTGTTGGCCACCACATCCGGTGGGGCCTTATCAGACTTTCCCAAAGCTTTTTCATCCACCTCCCTATATCCTCTTTTGTCCTATCTCCAGCTTATCCAACACGATCTCTGTTTCTGCTCCCACACTGAGCCTCCCAGTTGTGTTTCATTCATGCTACAGGATTGCCGAGTCTCCCCCATACCAAATCTGTTCTGTTGCCAGGCCATTTCGGTGCGGTCCTTTTAGACTGCTAACTCCTACCCGGCAGGGGATGTTTCTGAGTTGTTTTTGTGCTGCACGGAGCACAGTTTGGTGACGTCGTGTGTGCCAAGTTAGCAGGGTGTGATGGTGATATTCCCTGTTTCCCTGCGTGTGACAGCTACTGAGAAGAGCTTCTCACTATCCCTCATCTGGGCCTGCAAACCTGGAGGAAGTTCTTATCATGTCTTTTTTAGGGAAGATGTGGGCAGAAGCAGTCACATGGAACATGGCTTTCTTGGGCTGAGGGCCAGGGCTCCGACTTGAGATGTCCCCCAGGATATCTCATCTAGATCTTGTGTACATGGATCTGGCGAGAAGGACTGGATAGTGCCCACTTGATTCATCAGGCCTCTAAGTACTAAGGGATTAATCTGTTCGGAGTCTTGCAGAGTGGGGATTGAACTGGACGACAGCTGTGAATCAGGAACACAATCTTCTTTGAACCTAGAGACAGACAACTGCTGCCTCTGTGTTCAGATATTTTTAACTGGCCCTCCTGTTGGCAGAGCCAGGCTGCCCAATTAAATAATTTCACAGAGGCATTCCAGGGCCTACGGGAAGTTTTATTACTCGACGTCTGTATGTTCCAGACTTTCAGACAAATTCAGACAACACAATAAGTCATAAAGTGGGAGCCATTTAAATAAGTCATGTTATTTGCTATCACCATAAATCTGCAGTCAGTGTTAGAACATTCATAATTTAGAGACAAATGTGAAAATCCCTCCATACAGACATATATAATCAGTGCCGAACTAGCCTTCAACTTTGAAGCTGTATGGTATTGTAGTCAATG